GCACATAGTTGGATCATAGTTTTAAGAGTCCATTCTGTCAATTTCTGTCTTTGATTGGAGAGTTTACATTTAAAGTAATTACTGAGCCCTGGCTGGTGTGGCTCAATGAATTGGGCTGTGGGATGGGTCCCCAGAAGGGAACATGTGAGAGGCAACTGATTGATATTTCTCTTGTACATCTCCCTCTCTTTATCCCTCCTTTCCTTTTTCTATCTCCCCCCTTTTACTTTCTTTATGCCATCTGGTTTTTTTATTTCTAATTTCCTGCATTACTGTCTTCTTTTGTGTTTAGCTGATTTTTTTTTGAGAAACACTTTAATTATCTAATTTCTGTTTGTACATAGTCTGTATTTTCTTTGTGGTTACCATGGGCATTACATTTAATACCCTAAAGTTTAAACATTCTAATTTGAATTTGTACTAGCTTAACCTGTATGTACAACATACTAAACTTCTCCTATACAGTTCTGTCCCCACCTCTTTCAGTAATGGATGTTACAAAATGATATCTTTATACATTATGTGTTCAAAAATATAAACTAATGGGGACTTCTGATCCCCATTATGGATGGTGGTATAGATAGATACGCTTTACCTCCTTGCACAACCATAACAAGGATCACAACTAACCTCAAAATAAAAAACACCCAGAACTGCCAGAAAATTGAACTATATGGAAGTTCAACAACCAAGGATTTAAAGAAGCCATATTCATTCAGATGGGTTGGAGGGGCAGAGCTGAGGAGCTGGGCAGAGAGGATGCAGTGTGGCTGTGGCGAGGTGGCTGTGGCGAGGTGGCAGCAGCAGCAGCAGCAGCAGCAGCAACAGCCGGTGGAATGGGCAGTCCCATATTCACGTGTGGTGCATAGAAATTGGGAGGGATACTTGGGGTGTGAGTGACCCCTGTCCCAGGCCAGACTGTGCAGCCCAGGGTTCTAGTGCTGGGAAAATAAAGTCTTGTATCTTCTGGCTGTAAAAACCAGTGGGGGCTGAGGTGGCAGAGGAAACTGCTGGTCTCTCAGAAGAGTCCCTTTAAAGGGCCCACATGGTCCTAGAACATATGCAAACCCACCCACTTTGGGAACCACCACAAGGGCAACAGCTAGAAGGGTGCCAGTTGCATATGGGAAGTGGTTGAAGTGACTGGAAATGGGGCAAGTGAGGAGCAAGTCTTCAGCAGCCACATAGTGGCATTGTTTCCTCTTCAATCCCTCTCCCACATACAAAGCCACAAAAAAGTGAAGTGGGTTTTCCTGCCTTGGCAAATATCTAAGGTTCTGCCCCATACAACTTAACAAGTACACCAAGACAAGAAGTAAAAGCAGCTCTACCTAATACACAGAAACAAACACAGGGAGGCTGCCAAATTGAGGAGACAAAGAAATGTGACTCAAATGAAAGAACAGAACAAAACACCAGAAAAAAAAAACTAAACAAAATGGAGATAGCTAGCCTACCAGATACAGAGTTCAAAACACTGGTGATACAGATGCTCAGAGAACTCACTGAGTATAGCAAAAGAATAAGGGAAGAAATGAAGGCTACACTAAGTGAATTAAAGACAAATCCACAGGGAACAAACAGTGAAGGGAAGGAACGCAGGGTTGAAATCAATGATTTGGAACAGGAGGAAGAAGTAAAGAGTTAACCAGAACAGTGAACAAACAAGAATTCCAAAAAGTGAGGAGAGAAGAAGACGACTCTGGGACATCTCCAGAAGTGCCAACATCCAAATCATAGGGATGCCAGAAGGAGAAAAGGAACAGCAAGAGATTAAAAATTTATTTGAAAAAATAATGAAGGAAAACTTCCCCAAACTGGAGAAGGAAACAGTCATGCAAGTCCAGGAAGCTGAGAGAGTCCCAAAGAAGTTGGATCCAAGGAGAAACACACCAAGACACACCATAATTAAGTTACCCAATATTAAAGATAAGGAGAGTTCTGGCCAAGATCCAGGCATAGGTAGAAACACTTTACTTCCTTGCACAACCAAAAGAAGGATAACAACCAATTTAAAAACAATAAACAACCAGAACTGCCAGAAAAGCATACTGCATGGATCTCCAACAACCAAGGATTTAAAGAAACAATCATCCAGAATGGTAGGAGGGGCAGAGGTGTGCAGCCAGGTGGAGAAGTCCTGCTATAAGGCAGTGGACTGCATGGGCAAGGTGGGGGTAGTTGACTAGAAAACTAAAGACTCAAAACCTTTAGCTATAAAATACTATGGTGGTTGCAAAGGCAGGAGAAACTCACAGTCTCACAGGAGAGTTCATTGGAAAGTGGGGCTAGAGCCGAGCAAGCAAGCAACATTGCTTCCTCTCTGACCCCCCCCTCCCCCACCACAGGGAGCACCACAACACAGCAAAGAGGGTTGCTTAGCCTTGAGACAAAGAAATGTGGCCCAAATGAAAGGACAGATCAAAACTCCAGAAAAAGAGCTAAGTGACGAGGAGATAGACAGCCTATCTGATGCAGAGTTCAAAATACTGATAATCAGGATGCTCACAGAATTGATTGAGCTCAGTTGCGAAATGAAGGAAGAAATGAAGGCTATACATAGTGAAATAAAGGAAAATATACAGGGAACCAACAGTGAAGGAAATGAAACCAGGACTCAAATAAACAATTTGGAACAAAAAATAAAAGAAATAAACATCTAATCAGAACAGAATGAAGAAATAGGAATTAAAAAAAATGTGGAGAGGCTTAGGAACCTCTGGGACAACTTTAAATGTTCCAACATCAGAATAGTAGGAGTACCAGAAGGAGAAGAGGAAGAGCGAGGAGTTGAAAACTTATTTGAACAAATAATAAAGGAAAACTTCCCAATCTGGCAAAGGAAATAGACTTCCAGGAAGTTAAAAAAAAATCCAGAGAGTCCCAAAGAAGTTTGAACCCAAGGAGGAGCACACCAAGGCACATCATGATTAAGTTACCCAAGATTAAAGATAAGGAGAGAATCTTAAAAGCAGTAAGAACAAAGGAGACAGTTACCTACAAAGGAGTTCCCATGAGACTATCAGCTGATTTCTCAAACCAAACAACCCCAAAAAACCTTGTAGGCAAAAAGGGGCTGGAAAAAGTATTTGAAGTCATGAAAAGCAAGGACCTACATCCAAGATTACTCTCTCCAGCAAAGCTATCATTTAGAATGGAAGGGCAGATAAAGTGCTTCCCAGATAAGGTCAAGTTAAAGGAGTTCATCATCACCAAGCCATTATCATAGGAAATGTTAAAGGGACTTAACTAAGAAATAGAAGATCAAAAACTATGAATAATAAAATGACAGCAAACTCAAACTATCAACAACTGAACCTAAAAAACAAAAACTAAGCAAACAAGTAGAACAGGAACAGAATCACAGAAATGGAGATCACATGGAGGGTTTTCAGTGGGAAGAGGGAGGAGGAATTCAGGGGAGGGAAGGTACAGGGAATAAGATGCATAATTGGTAGGCATGAAATAGACAGGGGGAGATTAAGAATAGTATAGGAAATGGGGAAGCCAAAGAACTTATATGTACAACCCATGGACATGAACTATGTTGGGGGGAAGGATGCTGGAGGGTGGGTGGGTACAGGGAGGAGGAGGATAAAGGGGAGAAAAATTTGGGACAACTGTAATAGCATAATAAATAAAATATACTTAAAAAAGAGATGTTAAAGGGACTTATTTAAGAAAAAGATCAAAACTATGAACAATAAAGTGGCAATAAATACATACCTGTCAACAATTGACTCTAAAAATCATATTAAGCAAAGAAGAAGAACAGAGACCAAATTATGGATGCAGAGGACATTTTGATGGTTGCCAGATGAGAGTGTTTGTGGGGGAATAGGTAAAGAGGTGAGGGTATTAAGAAGTACAAGTAAGTAGTTACAGAATAGCCATGGAGATGTAAATTACATTATAGGAAATGGAGTAGCCAAAGAAGTATGTACCACCCATTGTGTGGGGATTGCCTGAGGGAGTGGAGGTGCTGGGTGGAGGGGGGCCAAGGAGGAAAACTTGGGACAACTGTAATAGCATAATCAATAAAATATAATAAAATAATTAAAAAAGAAATTATAAGGGAGAAATTAAGATATTTCTACACAAAAGTTGGGGACTGCTTAGGATGGGATGCTTAGTGGGTTGGAGCATCATCCTGTTCACCCAAGGGTTGTGGGTTTGTTTTTCCATCTGGACATGTACCTATGTTGCATGTTCCATCCCCAGTCAGGGTGCATGAGGGAAGCAACAGACCATCCGATGTTTCTCTCTCTCTCTCTCTCTCTCCCCCGCCCTTGCTATTCAAACTCAGAAACTAGATAGATTTTTTTTCAGATAGTGCACAAATATGACCAGCATTTATGAAGATGGGTCAGGAATAAATGATATTGAGGAAATACTGGCTGACTAGATCTCCCTTCCCCATTAGCCCATTTTACTGTTGAGGAAACTGAGTCTCTTTGTGGAGGGGATGTACAGAAGGTAGGGAGTTTTCTTCCAATTTGCCAGGCAAAGCCAATAATTCTCTTTGTGGTGAAGATATATATATATATATATATTTTTTTTCCTCTAAAGATTGCCCCTCCCCTAACTCTGCAGTACATGTATGTGTGTGTGTGGAGCCACAGGCCTTCTAGAAATAAGTGACAGCGAGAACCTATCCCTCTGGGAGAAGTGTACAGAATGACCAATGGGATGGATGGGGAGTGTGGGTGGATGAGTACCTATCTCTCAAGAGATTGGGGTGGAATCCGTCGCATGCCCCCTACCCACCCGCATTCCCAGCCGCCTTTGGTCCTTCCGCGCCTTCTCTTCCTTGGTAGCGCCCAAGGTGCTCATCTCCTTAATTCCACCTGGGACCTAGTATGAGTTAGGGGCGAGGCTCGAATCTGAAGACCGCAGACCTGCATCTCGAAAGCTTTCCCCAGAGGCCCGCAGACGCTGGGTGCCAATATGTAAAGCAGCTAGCGGGGTGGGGCCTGAGCGCAATGCAAATGAGGGGGCGTGCCATCCCTGGGCTCCGCCTCCCACCCCCGCAGCTGGGGCCAGCGGTGCCAAGTGCAGCTGGACGAACGGTGGCAGCTGGGCGAGTGACAGCCGCGGCTAGGCGCGCTAGGCAGCCAGAGCGGCGCAGGGACGCGCCCTGGCCCCGCAGCAGAAGCGGCCACCTTCCCCGCGCCTCCCGGCCGCAGCCGGTGCCCCACGCCCCCGGCCACCCATCCCCATCACGGGCTCCCTTGCCCCGCGCGCAAGATGGCTGACCCGGCTGCGGGGCCGCCAGCCGAGGGCGAAGAGAGCACCGTGCGCTTTGCCCGCAAAGGCGCCCTTCGGCAGAAGAACGTGCACGAGGTGAAGAACCACAAATTCACCGCCCGCTTCTTCAAGCAGCCTACCTTCTGCAGCCACTGTACCGACTTCATCTGGTGAGGGCGCGCGCGGGGCGCCTTCCCCGTCCCCAGGGCAGCACCGCGCGTGGGAACCCTCCGCGCCCCAGAGGGACAAGCAGCCCAGCTAATCCCGTGTTCCGGTTATCCCACTTCCACTCTCTGGCCCGGACTTCCCGGTGGCCAGCCTCTGCCTGGGCTCCAGACGGCCCGCTGCCAGGCGCCTACTGCCCTCTCCTTCCCTGCTGCCTCCGGAGCGCCCTGGGGCCGCTCAGACCTAGGAGTCTGTTTCTCCTTGGGATTGCCCTCTGCCCTGGGTTCCCTATCCCGTTGCCTCATTCAGGGCTGCCGGCACCCGCATCTCCACCCCTCCTTTCCGGGGGCAGAGCCCTGGGTAACCTCTATCTCCCTGCGGGCATGGGGCTTCCTTTCCTTCTCTGTGTCTCCAGCCTGGGGCTGCTCCCTGTGCTCTCTCTCGTTGCATTGCGTGTCCCTAAGGGCCTGGGTTCCCCTTTCCACTTCCTAGACCTCCCCCTCACATCCCTGTGGACCTCTTTTTCCCCCCTGCCCTTTTAGGCATGGAGAGCCCATTTTCCCTTCCCAGGCCCCCTGGGAAGCCGCCACCGCGGGGGGGACTCTCTCATCTTCGTGCTCCTCACGCCTTTATCTCTTCTCTTTCCCCGAGGGTACTCGGCTATCTCAGCAGATCTCCCGCCTACCCTCCGCTTCCCCCCCCCGCCCCCCCACCATGGAAACGCCACCTGGTGGTCGCAGCCGCCTGTCTTCTGTCTTCTGAGGGGAGGTGGGGGATGCCACCGAGCTCCCCCTCCCCCCTCCCTGTCTCCTTCAAAGGCGGAAGACTCTTGGGCACTGGTCTGTGGTTGGGAGGTTGCACCTGGGGTAGAGGGGCAGGGGAAAGGGGGGTGACTTTGGTGGCTGGGCTCCTCCAGCTGCCTGACTTGCCTCCTTCTGCCTTTGCAGGGGCTTCGGGAAGCAAGGATTCCAGTGCCAAGGTAGGCTGTGGGGCTCTGGGTATGCCTTTTTTAGGAAGAAATGGTGAAAACGACTTCCTAGAAATGACTGAGTTAGGCAGAGAGTGAAGGAATCACGTTTGTCAGAATGACTTCCCAAGCCAGGACTCATCACCACGGAAGGGTCCTTTTAATCGGTGTATTTATATATAGCAGGTGATGTTCCATCCAGGAAAGGCCAGTGGTGCTGGGAGGCCTCACCTGCCAAGGAGTGTATCCCCTCCCCACTTCTCCCTTCCCAGTACCAGAAGATTTAAAATGAGTTTCTTGAACCTACCCTGCCTGGTCAGTCCTGCTTCTGGAGGACCCCTCCTCCCTAATTGTGGCCCACTTGCCCTTCCTCATCTGACAGAGTGAGGTTCTACCTTTTTTCCTCCCTCACAGAAGTGTCTACAGGTCGCTGTCACCTCTGCAGATGGTGTAGTCCCATAGAATGGTGATGGCAATTGTCCTCTGGGCCTCCTGAAAGAGGTGGTTCCAGATGGGATACCTCTCAGATCTTGGTTTAAATTGCCTTTTCTATCTTCTGACTAGATATGGAAGGGCTCCAAGTGGGTCCTTGCATCTGGTATGAGATCCTTGACCCAAGCCAAGGAGGCCCAACCTGACAAGTGTCTTTTAATCATGTACGAGGTGGCCTCAGTGGTCTCTGGCTGCAAGTTTGCTCTCCAGGGCCAAATCACCTGTTGATGTGTTGAGCCCTTAGAGTGTCAAACATGTTTTGGAATTTATTTTTTATTTAAAAATTTTTATTGTATTTTTTCATTTCCATTTAGCCCTGCTATGCCCCCCTGCTGCTCTCACCTCACATATTTTGAATTTAATGTGAACATTTTGGAGCTGGGAGATTTCACATACATGTCTGAATTTCCACCTTCAAGTGGGCTGAGAATTGGCCCTACTTTCTAGTTAGAATAATCATTTGGAGTTGATAGTGGCTGTTTGCACAGAAGGTTATACACTCACCACTTTGTCTCCATCAACCATGCAGGCTTCAGCCATTGTTGGCCTCTGCAGGCATTTGAGTTGGTAACTTCTGATCTGGAAGGACAACCACCCTCTTCTAAATTTTAGGCTAGGTGTGGTTGAATTTGGTGAGGAATGTCACATTTCTGAGGTGTGTTTTAGGGGCACATTCACTGCCTTGGTGAGCTGGTTTTACATCAGGAGAAGAAAGCATTTAAGAGCCAGAGATTCGACTTAGCCCTGATTGACAGTTTGGTTGTAGCACCTCCCCCTCCAGGAAAAAATAAAGTAAGTGGCATTGACAGGTACACAGAATGCTGTCTTCTGAGACCCCTGTGTCCTCTCACCTGGGATCTGGGGCATGGCCAGCTCAGCCCCTGACCCTTGTAGACCCACCAAGCCTCTCTGACAAGACTGAAACCTCCAGTTTCATGCACTGTACTTGAGGACTTCCTGAATCCCAACACTGAGGTACTGGTGCAAACAGTTGGGTTGTTTCCTAGAACTTTGATCCCTCAAGCAAAATACCTATGATGTCTTGGTGCCAGAATGCGTAGAAGATCTTTGGGGCTACTGTTCATTTCCATTAGTTGGTTTCTGTCTTTGTCTCATGCTGAGGTCATGGATGACTTTGGAACATTTTTACTGCTATTGTCCTGTCCTGCCTGCTCTGTGGTTATTAATCATTGGGAAGGTCACTTTAGAATGTACAGGTGATGACATATCTGAAGTAGGATAAAATGGAAGTTTCTGGTGTGGTGAGAGTGAAGGAATATTAAAGTTTCTAATGAAATATGGCTGTTTTTGAGTAGGAGTGCCTATTTTTTATTTTCATTGCCTTTTTTTTGTCCTCTCCCTGAGAAGCAACATAGGGTAATGGGCATGTGCACAGGCTGTCAGGCAGGTCACTGTGAGTTTGAATCCCAATCATGTTATTTAGCCTGTTTGTACCTTGGGTTCTTCATCTACAAGATGAGTCCAATAACAGTATCTACCTTAAAAAGTTACTGAGAGGCTCAAAATAGTTACAATATATAAGACGCGTGGAGCAGAGCTTAGACATAGTAAGCACTCGGAAAATGTCAGCTTTTATGGTTGTTCCCAAATGACCCCAATGGTGGGGCAGCTGGTGTGAGAGAAGACTGGCTCTGCAGGGGTTGCTTTGTTATGGGACCAGCATGTCAGGTGAGCATTAGAATGTAGGTGTGAGCATCTGGTCACTCTGTGTCACTATTTTGGCAGTGTATTCCATTTGGGCTGGAGACAGAAGAAGCCAGAGAGGGGCTAGGGACAATTGGCAGCCCCTGAAATTGAGATGCTTAGGATGGGGACATCCAGGAAGGAGGAAGATTATTCTCAGATATGCTCAGAGTTACCTGGGACTAATTTGCAAACCATAGAGGAGTTCCCTATCGGAGTATTTTTTGGTATCACATATTTCCTCTCAAAGTCAATCTAATTAAAATGGGATCAACAATTTATAGAAAATACATATGATTTTATTCTCACTCTGAAGTCAGGAGTCCAGAGCCCAGGGCCCTAGGTTCCTTTCAGTTTTCCACTACACCATCCCAGGACTGACAATGATCTTATGGTATAAGATAGATGCTAGGCTATCCAGTCATCACATCCAATTTTAGTCAGCTGGAAGGAAAGGCTAAAGAAAGGCATGGTCACTATGGAAGTTGCCATAAGATACTTCTACCTCTGTGCTTTTAGCTAGAACTTAATGACATACCCACACCATGCTGCAGAGGAGTAAGTAGCCATGTTCCCTGCTAAAAGCAAGGGTGTGTATGTGAGTGGGGTGTTCCATTTCAAAAGCAGAAGGGGAGAGAGGATACAATCTCTGTAGTTCTTGGCTGGGAGGTGTATAGGAAAATCATAAGGCAAGGAAACTACTAAAGCCTCTTTGCTCCATTGTGCTTTCATGGAAACTGGGAATGCTGGGATGGGGCAAGAGGACGGATGCCACATCCATTAACCAATGAAAGTTATGGATTTCTGCATGCTCAGGAGAGCTTAAGAATAGATTTTCTTGCTTTTGTACCATGAGAGGAAAAAACTCTGGATAGACTGCCACATAATTTCTCCCTTTGTTTTTTAGTTTAAGAGGCAGTTTAAGGATGTCTCTGGTGACAAGGGACTGGGGCTCAGCATCCTTATTATGAATCTGCTTAATTTCTGGAGTAGAAGTGAGACCCCTCAGATAAACAAAGCAGAGTTCTCTCTAGGACATTCTTTAGCTACAGTTGTACTTTAATTGTAATTAAGATGAACCTTTGGGTGGAATTAGACTCTTACTCCAATAAATTCTTGCACTTTCAAGAAGAGGAAATTTGTTTTTAAAGGAAGTCACTTCAGCCCTGGCTGGTGTGGCTCAGTTAGGTAGAGTTTTGTCCCATAATCCAAAAGGCTGTGGGTTGTATCCCTGATCAGGGTGCATATGAGAAAGCAGCCAATCAATGCTCCTCTCTCACATAGATGTTTCTCTTTTTCTGTCTCTCAAAACAATGAAAAAGAAATGTCCTCGGGTGAGTATAAACAAACAAACAAATCTAAAAAAGCAGTCACTTCAGTAGAAATAGGGGGGCAATAAAATATAGAGATTCAAGATTCAGCATTGGTAGCATGGAGTTGGAGTGAGATCAAACTGGGTTGAATCTCTGCTGTGCTACCTACTCATTGTGTGGCCTTGGGCAAGTCATCTGCCTGTAGGGGCCTCAATTTTCTCATCTGTAACATGAGTCTAGTAATACCTACCTTATAGGGTTATGGTGAGGAGTACTGAGGTGATGCAAGAGAAGTATTCACCCTAAGTGGCAATGAGTCCAAGTGAGATGATCATTATTACTTAATTAGCTGCAGGAAACCATGGGACAAAGTTAATTCTGGAACTCATTAGATGACTGTGCCTCTTTTGTGTATGTAGATGGGTTTTCTTCTCAGGTATGTTTCTTCATAGGCTTTGGGTAACACCAGGGAGTACACAGCTCAGTGCCTGGGCCCAGACAGCCAGGCTTGTTAAGTATATCTTTTCTCACCCTGGGCCTTGTGAGAAAGATCTAAACTTCCCATGGACTCTATAGAAAAACCCAGTGCACTAATTTTATGACTATGAAGACATTGATGATTACAATGAGTAAAGCAGCTCTTCCCTTTTCTGTGTGGACTAGAAAAGATGTTTTTAAGTCTTCTAATAGAAATTATTCTTAAAAACCTCCAAGTGTTGCATGAACCCAACCATTGCTGTTTATAACATCTGACCTATAGAATCCAAGTAATTTTTGTCTGTAGTTAACACAAGCAGATTAGAATATACACTTTTTAAAAAACATCCATTAAAGATTAATCAAAAGTTAATTTTCTTTTTGGTATTTTGTATGGACTTATATGATATGCTGCAAGCCAGGTTGAATTTTCTCAGTAAAATCATAAAGAGGGCATGTGTGCATGTGTGTGTGCATACATGCAGCCACCACATCATGTTGTGTGTTACTGGCGCTTGCTTTAATAATTCTACTTCTCTCCCTTCTAGAAGCAGATCCCAGAGGCCTGTGAGTGAAACTCTGCTCACCTTTTGGCTTATTCTGAATGTGTCCTGTGGGTTCTATGTGGATAAAAGACAGGCTTTTGGACTTTGTGTTGGATGGTTTGACTTTTTAATATATTAAAAAGCTATATTTTCATACGCTAAAGAGATATTTGGATTTTCCTGTCAGTCATATTGTTGATGGTTCTATTTTGGGAGGTGGTTACTGGGTCATTTTTATGGTTCTGACAATAAAGGTATCTCTTTTCACTGTATCCTTAGATGCAGAGGACCACAGGACTTCTTTTTCTTCTGAAAGCATCCTCCCCTCCTTTGCTCCCTCTCTGCTGCTGTCATGGATCCAGCCCATGGTTTTGAGCATGTGCTGCAATCCTGGGGAAGGGTTTTTGCTTTGGAGGGAGGCATCGGTTTAAATTTTGACTTCTTGTTATGGGACCTCAATCATGTTACTTAAACTCTCTGA